TTGTTACATTTTGGTTGTAAATGGCAGCTTTTTAAGTCTTGAGCCATCTGCAGAATGCCCCTAGTGTATGAATACAGAAAAGCTTTCTGCAAACCACAAATATAACTGATTAAATGTAAGTAGGAGGTAAAAAAAAAAGAAAACCCATCAGTCCTAGAGTAATTGGCTCTGCTGGCAGCATAGGGAGACTTCTGCAGACAAAAGGGCACAGGGCAGAGATTGATCCAGCAGAACACCTAAGGCATCTCTGGTATCCACCACCCTGTGCTATTTACATCTCTCAGCAGGAACAGCCTGAGATGAAATCCTGAGGAGAGCTGGGAGAAAAGCTGGGAGAGCTGATGGAAGAGCCAGGTTTGTAATCAGTGGATKCAGCTCCCCTGGGAGGATCTTATCAGGGGATATTCATCAACATATATTTGCATCAATGAAAAAGGYTTTAATTCTGCATACAGCTCAGTGTAACCCTGTTATCACAGAAGGGAGCAAAGTCCAAGCTCAGCATAAGTGATCCCTTCGTGCCATTACAGTGCTCTGAAGAAGGAAAATACCACAGAACCATTAAGTAATCTATTGCTTGTACTTCCCTCTTTGCTACACATATTTGTGTCCGTGAAACATGGAAAAAATTTCTCTCCAAGAGAAGGACAAACTGGTTTTGGAGAGCATTTTTCAGATCTGCTGCAAGCACAAGAAGAAAAGCCTCGTTAGGATTCAGCTGGGAATTACAGTGGCAATTCCTCAGTGAATGGACAACAAAATGAAAAATGGAAACTATGAATGTCCTTGAAAGGTATTTCATGACTGAGAGATAAAGAGAAATCTATGGGATATGCCTGTGTCAAGTGTAATATAAAATARCAAGAATACTGACAATTAATAATACTGAAATAAACATCATCTTTCCAATCTTTAAAGCCCCATGTTGTACTCAGAAGGTTGTTTTTACAATGCCCTCGAGCGGGATGATTATTGTTATTATTGTTTCCATCCCACAAAGCATGAAATTGAGACTTGGWGGAGATGAATGATTTGCCTGGAGTGACTTGCAAAGCTGGGATCAGAGCCTGGAGCACCTGGTGTCACCAGCGAGATGGAGATGAGTGTCAGKGCAGCCAATGACAGGCTGACAGCAAATGGCGTGACAGGTACATACCCAGCCAGATAAGCAAATACTTTGTAAATACTTTGTAAATTGAGAACGGCAGGATTTTCCATAGGTGTAACATGGAAATTCAGCTGACAGTGAGCAGAGAGGAGCTCGGGCTGCCTCCAGGTGAGTCCCTCCCTGCCCAGGCTGGCAGTGCCCGGCTCCAGCTCCTCTCCTGGCCCTTCCTGTGCCTGGGCACCAGCAGGGACATGGGGTTTGGTGCCATATCAGAGTCATCGAGACCCCAGGGAAGTTCTCTTGGATATGAAAACAACTGGTGGTTCAGGGAGTATTTGTAATAACGTGAAATGCTGGATCTCCTTCTCAGGGGCACATTATACTTCACCTGCATTAGCTTAAGAAACAGTCTTCAGCTTTAAATAATCCCGAGACTCCCAAAGGATTTTCCTCGAGGGAAAGCTAATCTTTCTCATTTTCATTGCCCTGTTGAATGTGATAATTCTGCTGCAGAGCACTCCTGGGAATACCTCCAGCATGTCCATCCTCTGCCACCACCCCACTCTCCATCACCCAGCCCAGGACGCCCATGGAAACCTGAAGTATAACCCCCGTCTTTCTAATTTTTACCAAGCTAATTACGTGGGAGCAACACCTTCGCCCGGGGGAGGCTCTTCTGCTCATTTGTTACTCGAAGTAGTAATTTTTCCTGGTCAGACCTGCGCTGCTGTTCCTGAAATGCCCGCGGGAGATCCTCGTGTGCCGTCATTCCTCTGCTCCCCTGTCATTCCTCTGCTCCTCTTCCTCCCCTGGGGCACAGCGTTGCCTGCCAGGGGCTCCCAAGTCAGGTGAGGACAGAGCATCAGAGCATCGCCCCTGGCCCCCTGAGAGGATGTGGGGAGCAAATTTCCGTCTGCAGACTCCAGCCAGGAAGTCAATCAAAGTTAATTCTGGTCAGAGTCTTCCATTAGGCATGGAGATCCCATCATTAGCAGATCTCCTCATCACAAAGTGAAAATCTCTTTGATAAAATGAGGGCTGTGACTGCTGGCAGGGCTTGACATTTGTTCTTGTGTAAAAGCAAGAGCTGGGTTAAAATTTTTTTTTGAATTTTGGAAAGAAAAAAAGCTGCCATGAAGAACACACAATTCCAGGAAAATCAATAGTGAAGTCACTGTTCTCCTTTGCAAAAGCTGTGGAAATTTGAATCACCTTTGGTAAGGACTGAAGTTCCGAAAGTAAGAAAGAAACATGGACATCTCTGCTTAATTTGAAAAAAAAAAAAAATTGAAAAAAACCCTCTGTGGGTTTTTTCCTCATTGAAAAAATCCCAGAGTCACAGGATGGGTTGGGTGGGGAGGGACCTCAAAGACCATCTCATTCTACCCCCCTGCCATGGGCAGGGACACCTCCCACTAGACCAGGTTGCTCCAAGCCCTGCCCAACCTGGCCTTGAAAAATGAAGGACCATAGAAATCCTGATTAAATTAAATTGAATGGTTGTTCAGCAGTAATTTTATAATTCTTTGATGGAAAAAAGACTGCTTGTGGTCAGGCTGCAGGTGGCCTGGCTGCTGCTGTGGCACCAGAGAGCCCTGGCACCGGCTTCGCTTCCTGATGATGGTTCTAACAAAGGATGGCACCCACRGAACCACCACAGAGTCCAGCAGTGCTGGATTTGCAGTGTCAAGATAAAATTGAGCTTAATGAACTTGCCCAAATGGCAGAAGCAATATTTGTGAGCCATGCTTCACCTGACACATCCATTATGCCACGTGTCCAGGTGACCTGGATGCCAAACCCAAAGCTGAACCACACGTGGGAGAGAGGCAGCCAATATTAGCATGGCTATATTAATGTTATTAATAAAATGAAAGATTTGGATGACAAAACATTTTAATTATTTCTCGTCTTCCTCAATTCAGCATTCCAGGACTAAAAAATAAGTTTAATAAATTTTTTAAAAGACATTTTCTATTGCTCTCTCTAAAGTTAACACCTAGATGGTATTTGGAGAGTTTTCATGGTGCTGGTTGCAACTGGGTCAGACCTCTGTAAGGTCAGGCATCTCCTGAAATTGTCCCCATTACTGTTTCAGAAATATTATGAAACATCCTGAGTGACAGCGAATATTCAGTGAAACTGCATGTTTGGTGTCCAGGAAATATCCTTTTGTACTTTGGATAAATATCTGACCATTATGTCTACCCATGAAAGCAGCATAACAAAGCCAGACCTCTGCAAGAGGATGTTTTTATGGATGCAGATTGAATACAAAGAAGAATGAAGACAAACCATCCCTGGTACATTCCAGTGCAATATTCCCCTGTGCTCTCCCAGAGTATTTGAGATCCACTGACCCCGACCAGGGGCTCATCCTGGAATGGGTCAAACCTTCACTGCACGGCCCAGGGTGGTCTCCCAGCCCTGCTGCCAGGGATTGAGGGCAGCTGAGAGAGGGGGCACCCTCTCTTTTGGTCACAAAGGGGTCGGACAGGCTCTGTCAGATAGGATGCCTTTCCCACAGCTTTCACTTTCCGGGTAGACTCRCCCACGCCAGGGATGGATAATTGTTGTGGTGTTTCGTTCCCCGGGCACTCTTGGGTATCGTCGGGTTTTTGTGTCACTGTTGTTGAGTTGTCATCACAAGTCAGACCTGATGATTCAGGAAGTAACATTTTTGATGTAGTTTTGAAACACGCTTCTGTTAACCAAAGCATCTTTGTGTTGTGGGATTTCTGGAGACAAACGCCTTTGGGGAATTATTTCCGGCTGAGAAAAAAAAAAAGAAAACACCTCCTTAGCCAGGTCACAAGGAGGAAGAATAAACAGCACTTCTCCAGCGGCACGATCCACAAGGACTGGTATAAATAGAGGACCAGGGGACAGAGGGATCACAGTCAGATCCTGCAGCGAGCTGAGCACTTGCCTTGGGCTCTGTCGGCTCCGCACCCACACCATGAGCTGCACTGTCAGGCAGGTTGTCACCACCTGCTCCCAGGGCAGGGGCAGCGCTGGCAGCAACGCGGCYGGCACCGGCAGGAGGGTCTCCTCTGCCTCCTCGGGGAGACACGCTGCCTATGACTTGGGTGGGGTGGTTGGCAGCTTCTCCGGTGGCAGCGTAAGCGAGGGATTACTCGGGAAGCAGCTGAACGCCGGCAGCGCGGCCGGTGGGAGCTTCGGAGCCACCCAGAGGGCTTGTTCTGTCCTGGGATTCAGCGGTGGAGGCATCTGCACTCGGGCTGGTGGTGGCTTCTCCAGGGCCGGTGCTGGCTGCGGGGATGGGATCCTGTTTGCTAACAACGAGAAGGCGACCATGCAGAACCTCAACGACCGCTTGGCCTCATACCTGGACAAGGTGCGGCTCCTGGAGGGGGACAATGCCGACCTGGAGTGCAAGATCAGGGAGTGGTACGCCAAGGTAGGGCCCAGCTGCGAGCCACGGGACTACAGCTGCTACCACAAGGAAATTGAAGACCTTCAGAACCAGGTAAATCCTTGTTTGTCAAGAAAATCCTARTATTTCCTTGGGCTTGGCTTTCACACATGCGTAGAGCCCTGTCAAAGGGCAGAGRCAGTGGCTCTGGAGGGGCAGGTGAAGCCATGGTTTATATGATGTGATGGTGTGTGGGAGGGGGATTCTGCATTTACTGAGAACTGATGCTTCAGAACAGCCAGCTCCATGTAGCTGGCAATGAATTTCCCTGCTGTGATCCCACCTAACTGAATAACAACCCCAATATATGGAATCATTATAAAATACCCCAGGTAGGGGATTCCTCCAGGGTTTTCTGGAACCAGAGGAAGCTGCAAGCTCACATCTCCTTTATGTTTGTTTTCCAGATCCTTTGTGCAGCCATGGAGACTAACAAAATCCTTCTGAAYATTGATAACAACAGGATGACTGCTGATGACTTCAGGGTGAAGTGAGTACAATCTGCTGGTTCACAGAAGGGCAGGTGAGGGGTGGTGATGGGGAAGTCCCAACCCTCTGCCTGTCACACTGTGCAGAAAAACACAGATCTCTGATACCACTGGCAATATTCATACCACTGCATGCCTGAAATGAAAAAACTCAATCCTAATTTTCTTCCCCTGACSTCAAGTGAAGGGCTTGCTGTCTTTGCTGATCTCTCTTTGCTGCCTGTGGTTTAAGGTACGAGACCGAGTGTGGTCTTCGGCAGAACGTGGACGCCGACATTTGCAACCTCCGGCCYGTCCTGGACCAGCTGGCCAGCTGCAAAACCGACCTGCAGCTKCAGTGTGAGGCTCTGACGGAGGAGATGTGCTGCCTCAAGACCAACCACGAGGAGGTCAGCTCTCTCAGGGAATTCWGAAGAGGAAGGAAAGTCCCTCCAAGGGTGGATATTACTGACAGAGTTGGTGAATTCCCTGCAGGAAATGAGCTGTCTGAGGAAACAGGCCACTGGGGATGTGAGCGTGGAGGTCAATGCCTGCCCTGGCCCTGATCTCAGGAAGATCCTGGAGGATCTGCGGTGCCAGTACGAGACRCTGATGGAGCGCAACCGCAAAGAGACGGAGCAGTGGTACGCCTGCAAGGTACCCAGCTCTGCCCCTGGGGGAAAGGGAAAAATGAGGGATTAGGTGTCTTAATAACAGCAAGTGTGTCTGATGTGCTCAGATTTAACTACACTGCCTGATTTCTGTGTTGTGCCCATGGCAGAGGGGCCTCCACATGGTGTCACAGGGTGAGAATGGAATGAACTGAGCGTCAGCTTTGGACATGTGGGGTGTGGGGAGGCCCTGGCCATCACAAGATGCAGCAGGGAGGTGAGCAAAGGGCTGTTCTTTTCTGACTTTGCAGGTGGAGGAGGTGAATCTGGAGGTGGTCACAAGCAGCCAGGAGATCGAGTCAAGCAACAAGCAGGTCACGGAGCTGAGACGTCAGCTGCAGGCCCTGGAAATCAACGTGCAAGCCCAGCTCACCATGGTAGGAAATGCCACGACAATTCACAGCTCCAGCTCTCGTGATCAGGGCTGTAGCTGCAGCAAACCCAGGTACCTGTGTGTTGATTTTTTTCTCAGAAAGAAAACCTGGAATCCTCGCTGGCGGAGACCGAATGTCGCTACAACAAATACCTGGCTGAGCTGCAGAACCAGATCTCCTGCGTGGAGCAGCGGCTGGCTGAGATCCGAGCGGAAATGGAGTGCCAGAACCAGGAATACAAGACCCTCCTGGACGTCAAGTGTCGCTTGGAGCAGGAGATCCAGACCTACCACTGCCTGCTGGAGGGMGGCCAGCACGACATCATGTAYGCAGACAGAKCTGGGCACCCCAAAATCTCTGTGCTTTGCCTTACAGGGTTATGAAAATTCATGATTTTGGTAGTAAAAGCAGCACTTGGTGAGGAACCAGTGCTGACCTGTTATCAGAGAGGGTCCATTAGCAAACTATGAGGATTTGGCTCTGATGAATGTCCAGGGAGCACTCCAAAGACCATTCTTGGGCCAGAGAACAGTCCCTGGCACAGTGCAGCAGCTTTTTAAGGGCAACTTCCCCAGGAGCTGGGCAAGGTCCCCTACAAACAGTCATGTAACTGAGTTTTATKGGCTTGCCAGAATGAGACAGGATTAGGGACTAGCAGCTAAATTAACTGGAACAATAAACTATCCAAACATTTTCAGTTTCACACAACAATTTTAATTAAAGTTTTGGAAAATTTAATTTGTATGCAAAGCAGCTGGCTCTGCCCTGCCTCCCATTGACTGAGGTTTTGAAACAGCCAGGCTGTTAATTCCAGACATGGCTGCATACACAAAAAAACTGGCCTGAGCACCCACCTACTCCTTTTGTTTWGTTGGAAAAGCAGGTTTTGGAATGGTCATGCCCTGTTGCGGGCTCCTATGGACCTAACGCTCCAGCCCTATATTAATTACATGAAAAATCAGCTTTTGTTCCAAAATGCCCTTTGCAAGGGCTGAAGTGACACTCTTAGTGCTTGCCTGGGGTAATCCTGAGTGTCAGATGGAAAAAATTCAGCTGCCAAAAGACAGACAGGGGCAGGGTGGATGGTGGCTGCAGCTGACCCTTGGGGCTTGTGGGGCTGAAGAGACAGAGCTAAAGAGTGAGCAGGGGAGGGAGAGAGATCCGCAGGGTGGGAATGCAGGGGTCTGAGTGTCCAGAGCTGTTTYCTTTCCACAGAGGGTCGGCAGGAAGAGGAGTCGGTGCCACATCAGCCGGGAGGAGCGGGGGGCTGAAAGGCAGCCTGTGCCAGCCCTGCCTGCCCTGAGCCTGCTGTCAGGTGAGGGGGACTCGAGGAAGTGGGAATATGAGCTGCCACTTCAGTGCTGGGGAACAGGAGGATGAAAGAGAGGTCTCCAGGCTTTTCTCAATGATGAAGAGAGGCTTTTCCCTGGAATCAGGCACTCAGGATCACAGCTGTGACTGTTGGTGATAGAGCACTGGGATTAATTGGGCTGTGGTGGGAAGCAGTGGCAGGGGATGCCGCTGTGGGATATTTATTTATTTATAAACCTCTGTGCAGAAATGGTGTTTGACGCTKGGGGGTGCCCAGTAGTAAATGTGTGTTTAAACAAGACTTTCAGCACAACATGGGAATGAGAAAGTGGCCGGGAAATCAGTCAGTCACAAGTCTTTCAATGAGTTTCAAATTACAAAGTTTCAGATTTAAAGTTATAAAATTCAGCAAAGCTGGGGAGAACAGGGGAAGAGAAAGGCCAGTACAAAAGCAAAGGGGTGTAAGAGCAAGGCACAGGATACAGAACCTCCTGAAAAAGTGATTCTTCCCACTCTCCTTCAGGTCACTGCAGWCCAGAGTCCCTGCCAGCCCCTGAGGAGCTCTCTGAAGAATAAGTCATTTTGAAAAACAAGGCAAGAATAACCTGGGAGTTCTTAGCTGTGCTCCAGCAGCAGCCAGAGGGACTGTGCAGGATGGTACCTCCTGCACCACCCTCCATCCCTCACTCAGGCTCCCCTGGGTTGTGGCAGTTCTCTAACAGCGACCAATACTTGTCTCCAATAAAACTTTGCTCCTGTGACACAGCCTTGAACCTGAGAAATAATTTCTAAAAGTAAATCGAAATGCAAGTATTTAAAAAAAAATGTTATGCAGATAGTGATATTTATCATACAGCTTTGATTAGAATCCATCTCTGATCTCWGTCCACACAGCAACCACTCCAAGGAAAAAGGAAAATAAGCCCTGTTCCCATCAGGGCTCCAGCTGAGCTCAGAGGCTGAGGATGGGGATGAGGGTGGAGGAGAAGGAGCAACCGATGTTGTGGAAAGGGTTTTTTGCTACCAGAGGAGGAGGCATAAGCCAAGACATGAAATGGAAGGTGATGAGGAAAGAAAAATCCAGGGAGGCTGGGCAGAGGGCAGGGAGGGAGTCTCAGGGCTGTCTGACTGACAGAGACCTCAGAAAGAACAGGGAGTCTTCATTAAAACAGGTGTGTTCTAATATAATATTATATAATATATAATATCACAGACTATCATGTAACACACAACACCTTTGAGTTATTATGGATGCACACTCACAGAATAAAATCAAGAAGAACAAGTTTTCTCAAWTAATACCAAAGCAGGAATTTTGAAAGCCAGGCTCTGCTGGACTCTCCACACCCTTCTGCTGAAGGAAAACAATTCCCAGAGAAAACACTAAACAAAGGACCTCTAAATGGATTTGTAAAAAAGGCAAACAGGAAGAACCAGCTGGTAACATGTGGGAAGATAAAAGGGTGAGACAAATTAATATGTGGGAGAGAATTTTTTTAAAAGTGAGACACAATAAACGGCCAGAAAAAAAAAAAAAAAAAGCTGCTGGTGTTTTATAATCCCAGAGAAAGGAATGACAAACATATTTAGGAACACAACTGCATTTTGCTGTGTGTGCAAGCCAAGGCTCAGGATCCAGCAGCAGCCTCTGAGTGATGCTTGGGACGGGCTGGGAACGGTGGCACAGCCCTTGCTCCTCGCTGTGGGGCTCTGGCAGCTTTTCTCTCATGAAATATTGGATGGGGTTTGGTGACTAACCTTAGACAGAGGCCTGACATGAAGCTCCTAACAATAAGGCTTTGGGGGATACGATGAGTGTGAATTAGTGGCTGTTTCTAAAGAGAGAAACAGCTCAGATGGTTCTGGAATGGCCTCTTCCTGGGCTCTGTCCAGGACACTTGTTAGCCCTGTGGAATAATTGCTCTAATGAGCTCCTGGACAGGCTCTGTGTTACTTTCCCTGCTCAGCCCTGCATCTCCCATTCCTGCAGCACTAATTAACACTAACACCGAGCGTTTCGGGGTGATTTAACCCAGCTCGGTGCTGACACGGCACCTCTGAGGTCACYGCGTGGCATCTGTGCAGAAACACAACGCTGCCCTCCCTGCCCAGTGTTTATAACCTGGACAGAGATGGGAAATGGTGACAGCTGTGGGGACAGCACCAAGAGACAAATGAAATACAGRGGACATGGGACAACAGGACAGGAGTGACCTGGGACATGGACTGTGGGCAAAGCTCTGCCATGCTCCTCACACAGCAGCTCACGGCTCATAGGAGCTGGTTCTGTCCTCTTGTRACATGCAAATCTTGTAAAGCAAGAACAAACGAGTATCTCCAAGACAGAGAGACTTGGGCTGAAGGTACAGGATGGAGAGAGGAACCCAAGCATACAAACAGCAAGGGTGGATGCCCCAGAGAGAGGAGGGGGTGGTATCAGCACTCAGGCTGGTAAACAGACAGTGAAATGCACTGTGAGCTCCAGCAGATGTGGCTGTGCCATACAGAGAGTTACATCAGCATCAGGAAAAATCCCCGAGGAGTGAGCACATCAGAGGTTTAAGGGATCAGWGAAGAAATGGGAAGAAAACAACTAGTTTTGCAAATTACCAATGCTGGAAATCAGCCCTGAGTTCCAGACTGCACAGCACAGGCAATTATCTCTGATTACAGGCACGGTGCGTTTGGAAAAGCAGTTCATATTCTGGTGTGATGCACAAACTGTAATTTCTCTATAAAAGTCTTTTTTATATAACATGCAGACAGGTACAGCCTCACACCCACAGTAACTATCTGTGGGGTTTACATTCTTGTTTATTGGCTTGTGTAACATTTCTAAAGAATTACAAGAGACGAGCAAACTGTGCTGTAACCCAACAGGAGATCTYTCAGCTCAGTGTGCTGAATAACATAATCTCATCTGCTAGAATGAGCCACATGCTGAAAGTGTGTTGAAATGAAGAGACTTTTTAGCACAAGTGTGATATGAAGATAAAAGAAGACAGTTTGGGGAGTTCTGGCTGCCCTGCACCTTTGCCTGCCTGGTTCTGTTGCACCACTGGATGATATCTGAGCACAGGAAGCACCCAAACACTCCAGGCTGTCAGGCTCTGGCCTGATCCTGTGGCTCTGCAGCAGAGACCACAGGCTGAAGCCTTGGTTTCCCTCCCATCCTGTGCCATGCTCAGTTCTCTGTGCAAAGTGGAATTGCTGCAGTTTCATCACCCATCACTGTTCCCATCTGTTCTAACAAATTCTCCAGAACACTGCCATGATAACCKGTAGTGCCACCAGAGATGCATCCACCAGAGATGCACCCACCAGAGATGCACATGCACATTCCTGGCAGATGCTGGAAGGAACCAACACCCTCCATCAGGTGAATCAGGGGAGACTGAACTTTTCTAGGAAGAAACCCAACTGTGTCCACCACCACGTCCTGCTGAACTTCTCCTTCAAGCACTGCAGATGCTCAGATTCTGCAGATGTGAATACTCAGCAAGAAATAAACTGAAACAGCGTCATTCTCTCGGTCTCTGAGGCGTATTTAAGCCTGTGCTGTTACYAAACCCACTGTGGTAATTATTTCAGTTGCCTTACAGGATTTGGCTAAACGTGGTGGTATAAACCAGTGAGTCACTAGCCAGGAAAAAGTTGTGGTCTGCATTTGAAGGATGGGAGTATGGGGCCTGGAGCCGGCTGAGTATCACATCAAAGAAGTGTTTAATAAGTGATGCCTAATGGCCATTATGCAAATCATTAATGGTAATTACAAGTGACAAGATAAAATCATATTCCAGTGTGGTTGCACAAACATCACTGAGGCAATGCTTATGAAAGCAAAGTTCTGTAGATCCAGACACACCTTTCTTGTAGTTGACACAAGACAACATTATCAGCTTTGATAAGCAAAGAGAGGTGAGCGTGTGGAGCCGGGCTGGGCACAGAGACAGCCACAGCACCCACCAGACCAGACTGTCCTGCCCATAGAACCCTGGAGAACGTGGCATCCTCCTGCCTCCTCCATCCCCGTGCACCAATATTCATCCTCCTGCCTCCTCCATCCCCGTGCACCAATATTCACCCTCATCCCCTCTTCCTCCACTTTCACTTTCTCTGCTCCATCAAGCCCACAGGATTCAGCAGTGCTGGCACTGATGTTGTGTGCGACCACTGATGATCATCCTGGCCCAGGGCCTGCTGTGGCTTCCTGCACTTCCATCTGCATGAAACCATTCATTTCCTCCAGTCTTACACTGAGGTTGTAAATCCTTTTGGGACACRTTTATGTCTTAGACTTACTCAGTCCTTTCCCTGTGTTCTGCCCCATGGCTGTGTCCCAAGGCTACYGGAATACAATAATAACAAAAGTGGAGGTAAAGGAATCAGTTTAGTGGGGAAAAAGCCAGTGCTGAGGGAACACAGACTCTGCCTGTCTCAGTGCTGAGCCCTGGAGCTCAAACATGGCCATGAGGAATGGGACAACACCATGCTTTGTTTTTAAGATACAGCCACGTTAGCCAGGGAYTGGCTTCTGGGTCCATTTGCTGCATCAGACACATGTTCCATGTCCCATTGAAATTGGCAGGGGCCTAGAAAAACTCCAAAGAATGCAATTACATCCCAAATATGAGTTCTTTGGACGAATTGCATGGTCATGTCTAATCTTCCTTGGTAAAATGGGGTTTGTGAGTCTGTGGACCATTCCACCAGGACACAAGTGAAAGGTTGCACAGTACTGGTGTTGTTTTGTGGAGCAAGACCTGCTCTTTTTTCCTATCAGAGAACTGCTGAAGGAAGCAGGGGTGGGTGCTCTGTGCCCACCTGTAAAGAAATGCCCAACATCTGCAGTGTCTCCCCCTAAACCCAACACTCTGCAAGGGAGAGAAAGGCACCTCCAGCCCCTCTCTGCAGGTTGCTCTTGGGTAACTCCTGAAAACCTCCCCAGCAGAAGCGAAGCTCCAAGCAAGCATTATATTAATTTCTTTTGGCTCCAACAGCCACACCCTGTCTTCAATTATATTCCTCAAAATGATGGATGAAAGCCAGATTTGCTCCCTCTCCTCCTTTTGCTGATGATTTTCCCGACTGTGAGTCTGGGCTGTGTGGGGAGCACGGGGGCTATGTCTAGGAGGAGGATGGACTTGTATTTCAGGCACTGCAGTCTCAGAGAGGAATCTGAGCTCCGACAGACACCAGCTCTGTCCTTAAGCAAGTTATTTCCCTGCACCATATGAATAATGAATATTCCTGGGTGCCGCCAGCCTTGGGTAGGCGGCTTTTTATCATTTTTGATCTAAGTAAAGAAATAAATTATCCCACTGGAGAGTGGAAAGCTTTAACTCATGCTGGTGTGAAGACAATCCTATCTAAACATGCTTGGGGACACTGTCCTACCRTGGTGACAGCAGTCACCAACTTCCCACCAGTAAAGAGGTGGCTGAGGACACGAGTGTGGGTTTTTTCTCCTCTTCCTCCTGGAGGTGACGCAGCTCTCGGGGCTCCCTGAGTGTCACCTCACTGCCAACAGGGATCTGTCACAACTGCTCCTGCACATATGGACATCCTGGAGTCAAAGGCTGCTTTGTGAGTAAGAAATTCCTGGCTGTAGGGAACAGAAGCTGTTGTCCCCCGGAGAGCAGAATATCCTCTCATTACAGAGTTGGCTGGAGAAGGACACTGGCACAGCCAGTTCTTGGAAGGCTCCCTTGGCTGTTGCCTGCCTGGTTGGGAGGTTTTGCTCCCCTGGCCRGCCAGGCTGTGCTGACAACTGCTTCTGCTCCAATAAACTTGATAAGAAATGCAGAAAGCTTTTCTCCTTCTTTCTCAGTGCTCAGCACAATCTTAATAATGGCAAAGACCCGCAGGGTCACACCTGAGTCCAGGGATCTGTTTGTTTCACTGTGGATACTCCCTTTCTTGTCATGTCTTTATCTACCATCACCACAAACTGAGAAAGCATGGACAGCAATTAAAGCAACTGAAAAATATCTTCAGCAAGGACCTTCATGCACTGGTGAAGGTGACATCCACCCGTATCTCACCCACACACAGGGGACACCGAGCAGGCCTGAGCTTTGCAGCGTGAGCAACTCAACTTCTTGTTTTTGCATGACCAGAGAAATGTAAGCCATACATAGGGAACTAAACCAATGAAAATCTCACACTAAAACAGATACTAGAACTGTGCCTGGTGACCAACATCCACACCACAGTGTCCCTGGTCTGATCACTACTACATTCACACTTTTCAGAAATGAGAAATTCTATTAGTTTCTCATTTTTTGTTTCACGAGCTCTACCATAGCATGTGATATRAAAATGGTTATTAGACTAAGAATAAAATAAATACAAATTAATAAAAGATAAAAGGCACTTTGATGTTATAAATACCAATGTTTCTTCTTTGTACATAATCTAGGGCAACTTTTTTTTCTCGACTTGTTGCAAAGTTTGCATCATACAAAAAAGCTGATGACTCATAAAACACTATTTTACTTTTTGGAATAAGCTGCTGACATGTAAAGTATCTTCCTTGTGAACTGGGATTTCTAGAGGGAAACTGCCTATGGGCTATTTAATCTTKGCATAAACAGCCAGACTAGCCAGCCCCGTGGGAAGAAGAAACACCCCACAGGTGACACCCCCTTTGGAAGGTATAAATGGAGACCTGCGGCAGCCGCCAGCCTGCAGTCGGACTCAGTATCACGCTCTGCATCTCGCTTTGGGCTGTGGGTTGGCACTGCAGCTGGGCCTCGCCATGAGCTGTAGTATTAAGCAGACAACTGGCTCTCTCAGGGGCAGGACCAGCGGTGGCAGCTGTGTGATCGGTGGTGGCGGTGGTGGTGGCGCAGCGCGGATCTCCTCGGTCTCCTCCGGAAGATACACGACTTGCGGGATAGGCGGTAGCCGAGGGTTTTCTGGGAGAAGCTACTGCGGTGGTGTGAATTACGGAGGAGGACTGAGCACCGGCAGTTTGGTCGGTGGAAATTACGGAGGTGGCTTAGGAGCCGCTGTCCTCGGAGGATGTCAGGGCATGGGGTTCAGTGGTGGCAGCGCTCGCTTCGGCGGTGGCATGGGAGGTGGCATGGGGATGGGTCTCGGTGGAGGTGGTTTTGCTGGTGATGGCATTCTTCTTTCTGGTGACGAAAAGGTCACCATGCAAAACCTGAACGACCGCCTGGCTTCTTACCTGGACAAGGTGAGGTGCCTGGAACAAGAGAATGCTGATCTGGAGTGCAGGATCAGGGAGTGGTATGCCAAGCAGGGACCTTTTTGTGAGCCACGGGACTACAGCTGCTATTACAAAGAAATAGAAGATCTTCAGAACCAGGTAACACCCCTTCTCAGCTGCTTTCTCCCTTGCAAGGCTCTCTCTGGTGCTGGATCATAACTCAGTGCATTATCAGGAGTAACAAACCATGGCTGCAAAATGCTTTTTGCAAACAGCCATTACAACATCTACCTGTGGAAAACCCAGAGCTCAGAGGGCAATCTGGAGGGCTCAGGCTGTTTCTGTTGCTTTTATGCATCAGACATACTGAAGGGGAAAATGTTATTTCATGGAATGCATTGGGATGGACTCAGTAGTCTCTTTGAATTCAGTTTGTGTCAAGGTGGTCAAATAGATGTATGGCAAGAAAGGAACTAAAAGATACATAAATAATGGATCATATTAATTTGCCTGAATTTGTATTATTCTCATCAGTCTTGCAGCATTCCAGTTAAATGCTATTTCCTTTTCTTATTAGTTTACTCTTTCATGTAGAATTGGGAAATACAGAACATCCAATTAAAACGAAGAAAATAGAGGACACTGCTGTAACACATTTGGAATGGGCTATTTAAAATTCAAAACATTTGCAAAGTGTTTTGCAAAARTTTTGGATGTCAATGCACAAAGAAAAGAGAAAGAAACCAGGAAAGGGGCCGAGTGACACAGGCTTGTCATTATTTCTTGATATAAAACTTTAAATTTGATAAGATTTAGATTTAAGAGGMTGAGGTGGATTGTGGCAGGTGCTGGACAGTAATTACATCTCCTGGACTCTCTGCTCCTGAATCATGAGGTTTATCATTTTAATACCTTCACTGCATTTCCCTGAACACCCCGTGAGTGCTGCACCCCTCAGCCCCCCATCCCTGCTACCCAGGATTTTATAAAAAGAGAGGGAGAAAGAGGRTCAGGTCACACCAGGCAGTGGGTGCCTTGAGCCCAAGGACATGGAGCAGAAACCACAAATGTTCTCTTTCCAGATTGTCTGCGCAACCATAGACAACAACAAGATCATTCTGAACATCGATAACAGCAGGATGACAGCCGACGACTTCCGAGTGAAGTGAGTACTTGGGGCTGTCCCCTCCTCTGTCACCATGCTCAGGGCTCTCAGTTACTCTCCTGTGAGCCAGGACAGGCTGGAGGCTGTGTAGAACTCCCTCATCCATTGCCTCTTAATGAGGGCCAGTTCCAGGAGGGGAAGTTTGGGATGCCAAACTGGTTTTGAGTGGAGATTAGAAGATGCAGAAGGGACCTGCATACCATGAGCAGCGAGGGTTCAGCCGAGTTGCTGTTCCAGCATCTGCTGTCTTTCAGAGGGGAAGRTTTTGGTTTTCCCTGTCAAAGCTCAGAAACGCTGGTGGTGTCAGACACTGACTGCTCTTTCTTGTCTCCTCCCTCGCAGGTACGAGACGGAGCTGGCCCTGCGCCAGAGCGTGGAGGCCGACATCAACGGGCTGCGTCAGGTGCTGGACCAGCTGACACTGTGCAGGTCTGACCTGGAGGCACAGCTGGAGTCGCTGCGGGAGGAGCTCTGCTGCCTGAAGAAGAACCACGAGGAGGTAGGTCCT